AAACAGCAAAAAGATCAAATCCTTTGAGGATTTTTAATTTGTCTGGACCCATCAGCGAAGTGTATAATAAATTATTGGTATTTTTTTCATGCCAAAATTGAAATGATATGTTAAGCCTCTGCATTTCCAATAAAATTTTGGCTTTCCAAATTTCTTCATCTGCAGTTTCACGGCGAAGATCAGAAATCATTAACTCCCAAAATCTATCTGTTATCCGCAAAAAAATATGCAATTCATCAACTACCCAATTTTGTAGTGGTATCATATAAAATAATAGTTCTTTGATGTGGCCATTTATTTGTTTGTAATTAATTTTAATATCATCCATTGATTTGTTAATTGTTTTTGACGTAGTAATAATATCATTTTTGCTACAATCACACCAAGGACAAAAGTATTGTACGTTAGCAGCTTTCATTCCCAAACAAATTGCCAAAAATTTCCAATCAGAACTGAAATACAATTCTACTGGCCAATGATTACCACCTATTTGATAAAAACCTCTCTCTTTTAATACATTTAAATCAGAAATTAAAGGAGCTAGTGCATTTCTAAGAGAATCATATGTTTCAGCACCTGGATATAAAACTAATGTGTAGTGATTATCTGGTTTCTGTAATCCATTTAGATCATTTAATAATGTCATTGTTATCATGACGTGTTTTACTTTGCGTCCCACATTACGACCATCTCCTGAAATTCGAATATATAAAGTTGATCTTCTAGGAATTAAAATTCCTTTTTCAATATATAATGGTATAATGTAATTTAAAATATCTGTTATACGGCGCTGTCCTCCTTTGCCAATTGATTCCAACATATTCATAATAATTGTACTATCAGTAATATCTGGATTTCCTGTAATTGGTTCAAATGCAGTTGGTTGTAACAAATCAACTAGAGTCATTAGAACTTTTTTTTTCATTTCTGCATTGATTTTTTGTCGGCAATCACATATTACATTTTCACGTGGAAGATCTTCAATTCGTGCCAGAGATCGATAAGCTTCTCTTGAGATATGGCCCCTATCCAAAGACTTAACCACTGCTTCAATTTTTTTCATTTCCTCTATTTTACCCAACATTCCAAAATTAATTTCATATATATCATCATAAGTTTCAAATTTTATTTGTTTAAGCTTTATTTGATCATCTGGACCTTATGTACAGTAAATTGTAATAAAAAACGTGATTGTCATTAAACCTAAAGAAATATTAGAAATGGACCTGGAATCCTTAGATAAGTTGTATGTTAGTTTTTTGCTAAAGCTCTGTTAGTTAGAAGGATAAACTTATTATCTTTTTTATTTATTTTTTTAACCATATAGAAATAAATTTTTTTATTTCTTTGATTTAGATGTCATCAATTTATCGATGATAGCAATTATCCTCATATTAAATATATGGCCTCTAACAATTAACAAACTGTTACATATAAATGCATTAACTTTCATAATACGAAGGGCATAAAATCTTTATTTTACTTATGTAAATTTACTATATTTTATAATACTTTAAATAAAATCTTCATCAGTTTTATAATAAACTACCAAAGATAAAAAAACAAATCATAGATCAATAATTGCAAATTTAAAAATAAATAAACGATACTTTTTATGATAGTAAGATGGTGTAAAAAACATTTATTTTTATTTTTTTATTATGTCTATAGATATCTTTTTATTTGGCTAACGTTTAAATATTTTTTATGGTAATTACAAACAAAAAATAAATTTCAAATATCTAAATTTATGTAAGTTCATCTTGATTTAAGAAACCTATAATTTAGAATTGGCTTCATATCATTTTTGTATTAATATTAATTTTAAATTCTGGCCAAAATTATGCTAATTCTGGCCAAAATTTATATCACGTTAAATTGTATTTTTTAAAAGTTAAATCTACTTATCTGGTTATTGTATTTCACATCCTAATTTTGCTGCATCTTTTTTAGTATAAAATTCAACATATTTAGACAATGAATCAAATTCGCCGATATG